GGCTGGGCATCTTCCCTCACTGTTCCCAGATATGACCACTTCCTTGCAAAATTCTTACCATGGCCCACAAGACCCTGTGATCTGGTCTCTGCCTACTTTCTCCACTCCCATCTCACAAGATTCTTCCCTTGATTGTTTAGGCCCTGTGACATGGCTAACTTTTTCTCATCCCTTAGTTCCCAACGTGTTACTTTCTCAGAAGATCTTGACTCTCCAGTCTATTAGAATTAGGTCTCTCTTGCCCTAGCTGGTTTGGCTCAATGAATGGTGTCAGCCTGTGAACTGAAAGGTTCCAGGTTCGATTCTGATCAAAGGCACATTCCCAGGTTGCAGGCTCAATCCCCAGTGTGGGTCGTGTAGGAGGCAGTCAATCAATGATTTTCTCTCTCTCATCATTAATATTTCTGTCTCTCCCTCTTCCTTCCTCTCTGAAGTCAATAAAAGAATATTTTTTAAAATTAGGTCTTTCTTTTTCACTTTCTTCATAGACTGGTAACTTATGTTACTTTTATCTGCACACCATACCTTTCTTTAAGGAACCCCTATTTTAAACAGTTGTAGTGGGACCATATGTTATAATACTTGCCTCCCCCAGCTATTGAAATAACCATGTGATCCACAGGGGACCAATCATATTCTTCCCTGAGACTAATATATGGTAGCTGGGAGAGAGAAGCTCTTTTTGCAGGAGTTGGGACAATATGAATCTGGAGTTGCCATCATCCACCTTACTCCCCATGCAGAGTTTGGCTACAGGAAGAATGCTGGAAAGATAAGTAAAGCTGTGAACTAGAGAGTGCAATTAAGTCCAAGGTCTAGTGGACTTCACAGGTACATGAGCTAAATATATGTATTTTTAAAAATTTTTATTTAAAGCTAGTTTGATCTGGGGTTTTATCACTTGTCATAACAAGAGTTCTAACTTATGCAGAACTTATCACAATTTTAATAGCTTTATTAAGATATAATTCAAGTACCAGGTAATTCATTCATTTATACCATTTGAATTATATATTTTTGTATAATTATTTGTTTAAAATTTATGTCCTCGTTAGTTCCAGGACAATAAAGATTATAGCTGTTTCCTTTACTGTTATATCCCAAGAGCCAAAACAGAACTTGCCTGGTTCAGAGTACATGCTCAAAAAATATTTTTAACTGAATAAATGTATGAATAAATGAAAATCTACCCTAGTCTGGGTGCTTGGGAATAATGAAATAAATTAGACATAGCTTCGGCTGCTCTCGAGGTCTAGCAAGAGATATAGACACCTAAGTAATCAAGTTCTGGCTAAGCAATAGAGGAATGCTCAGGAAGTTGAGTAGGACAGAAATTGGTTACCGTGGCCTGCCCAAATCTGACCACTTCATTAAAGCCCTCTTCAAGTGCCTCCCTAAACCCTTTACTAAGAATCTCACTTCCATCTGTGTTTCTACTTAAGTTTATACTGACTCCACTACTTCCTAACTATGTAAGCTTGAGCAAATTACTTAATCTATGAACGTCATTTATCAGAGTATTGGACATGTCCTGTAGTACCTACCTTGAAGGGTTATGTTGAGAATTAAATGAAATAATGTAAAGTACTTCGGATAATGCTTGGCTCAATATGTATCACTCCTTATTACCATGTTTGCCCTCCAGTGTGGTTAAGTGGTTAGACCCTGGGGCCAGACTGCTGCTTGCGCTCAAATTCTGACTCTACCTGTTACTAACTCTGTGACCTTAAGCAAGTTACTCAACTTCTTTGTGCCTCAGGTTTCTCGTCTGTTAAAAAAAAAAAAAAAAATGGAGATAAGAAAAGTACATGTCTCAGAGGATTTTAGGAGAATTGAATTAGATGAGTAATATCTTAAAACATCTAGAATAGTGCCTGGCCCACCTAATACTTAACCAGCTTACTTTTAAAAAGTCTTAGTCATAAGGGCTTGGCATGCTGTATATATTTTTTCCTAATATAAAACTAATTCACCTTTTTAAAAAATTTCTTTATTGATTAAGGTATTACATATGTGTCCTTATTCCCCCTTTAGGCCCCACCTCCCATTCATGCCCCCACCCTCCTGCTGTCTGTGTCCATTGATTAGGCTTATATGCACACATATAAGTCCTTTGGTTGATCTCTCCTCCTTACCCCCACTGTCCCCTACCTTCCCTGAGGTTTGACGTTCTGATTGATGTTTCTCTGCCTCTGGATCTATTTTTGTTCATCAGTTTACGTTGTTCATCATATTCCACTAATTCACCTTTTAAAAACTTAGTCTTGTTTAACTCTAAGGGCTTGACATGCTGATTACATATTTTTTCTAATACACACCAAAATATATACATAAAATCACCTTGCACACTTCCAGTGTCATGGGTTTCTCTCTTTGGGAAACACTACTCTAGACATGTGTTCCCATGATGGATGGTTCCCTGAACACAAAGTGCTATTCCTTGCCTTTGCCAGTGTTATTCTCCTTGCTTAGAATGTCTTGCTTCTCTTCCTCCCTTGGCTGCTCCTACTTATCTTCATGCCTCAACTCGGGCATCGTATTCTCTGACCCCAACTGAATTAGGTGCCCCCTCTGCGCTCCCACAATCCCCGGCATATCCCTCTATCACAACAGTGATCACCGGGGGTATCACCGTTTCTGTCCTTCACGGATCAGGGAATGTATCCTATTTCACTGCACAGTACCTGGCATAGAGCAGGTACTCAGAAGTCTTCATTGGATTGAAGTAAAATCAAGTAGCCAAATACGTAACATAACACACATTTAATCAAAACATGTTTGTGCAGTATCTTCTCAGTGCTAGACCATATACTAGGACTGTGGGTACAAAGATAAATAAGGTTAATTTCCTGGCTTTTGGGAGATAGAAAACAAGTGCACCCAAGTGCCACAGGCACTGTGACTGCTGCCTGTATGGGGTACATTAAGTGGGGACCCAAAGAGCATTGGGCAGCCAGGAAAGGCTTCACAGAAGGTGTGCAGCTTGAGCTGTTTTGAAAACTGTGTGTGTGTGTGTGTGTGTGTGTGTGGCGGGGGGGGGGGGGGGATACAGAAGAGAGCATCCCAAACAGATGGGGCATAGGGAGAGGGTCCAGGGAGCGTGCTGGGTGTTTCCCTGGGGACAGCAGGTTGAAGACATAAAGAGACAGCCTGAGATCACCTAGGAGTGGGCAGCAGGACATGCTTACTGTTCTGTGAACCACAGATGGGTGGAGGTACTTTCGGAATCCTGAGAAACTCTGTGAAGGTATAAGAACAGTACAACCCAAGATGATTCAATCTTCCTTTTTATTATTTAATTTGTTTATTTTTTAATTCTCACCCGAGGATATCTTTTCCATTGATTTTTAGAGAGAGTGGAAGGGAGAGGGAGAGACCGAGAGAAACACTGATGTGAGAGAGACACACCAATTGGTTGCTTTCCATATGCCCCCCACCAGGGCCGGAAGCATGCAGGGAGCCTGCAACAGAGGTACATGTCCTTGACCGGAATTGAACCTAGGACCCTTTAGTCCGCAGGCCAACGTTCTATCCACTGAGCCAAACCAGCTAGGGCCCTTTTTATTATTTACCTACAGTTTGCTAGTTTCTATTTCAGAACACCCTGGGGAATAGGAGAAGGGAGAAAGAAGCATAGGACTCCTCCCACAACACACACATACTCATAATACATGTAATATAAATATGTACAACACACAACACACATAATACAAATATATACAACACACTTGGACATTATACAGTTTACCTACCTACCAGCCGATATATTGGTACTTCAGAAATTGCCAGAGAGTATAACTTTAAACCTCCTGCTTCTGAAAACTTACAACACCTAAGCCGTGAGAACTTTTTAGACTAGCTAAAAGCTAAGCAATTGAGGAAGATTTCTCTCAGTCTGTCTTACATTAAACCCCAGTACAGAAAAGAAAAAGTTGCTATTTTGAGCAAGCATTGGCAGGGGTCCTGCTGTGGTGCTCCTGAGACACACCTAAGGCCCCTGGGTCTCAAGGGAGCACAAGAATTGAGATGCTTTAACCCTGGAAAAAGCCAGAGCATCACTGAGCTGCATACTTAAAGCCACACGGTTTCCTCTCTTCATACAATAACTTTTGTTGTGAAATGCGTTTTGGTGAGGAAGGATCAGTTTACATTGGGAGAAAGTGTAAGACAAGCTGTGATGTTTAGTGCTCTAGTTACCATAGGGTTGTTTGATATTAAGGACATTGTCACAAGCCACACATAGAGTCTGCTCTGCAGGTGCCAATGAAGAGCAGTGCTTCTCTGGAATAATGGGTCTGTTTTTAATTTAAGAACCATCTCTGAACCATGTAACAGATTATGTTTCGCTCTTTGCAATGGTTGCTAGGAAGCTCAAAGCCAATATTTTGGCCCAACTATTGCTTATGCCCAAGAACTTACAATATACATACTTATGTCACTGTTGGCTTCCTCTTATTTACCTCCTACGCTTGCTTTTCCTTTGCTCCAATTTTCTCACTTAATTAGGGTTTTTAAAATGTACTATGAGGAGTTTTATAAAACACCTTACATCTTTTGTGGAAGGAGCTGGTGAAAAAGTGTTCATAATTTTAAGTTTTACTTATATATTCAATGTAACAAAATATATGCATATAATCATAAATTACCTAACACAAAGCTATATGTTCATCACATAAATATAAAACAACACATAGAGCACATCTATAATAATAAAAGCATAATATGCTAATTAGACCAGACATCCTTCCAGGCGTCCTTCCAGACAAAAGCTGCTGCAGGCAAGGGCCGTGGCAGAGGTGGCAGAGGCCTCGCCATGGCGGTGGGCGGGGGCTGCAGAGGCAGTGGCGGGCAGGAGCCAGGGCCAAGGCCCTTGCACGAATTTTGCACATCGGGCCTCTAGTATGTACATATTTCACAATCTCCCCAATGTCACATTTTCATACACACACACACACACACACACACACACACACACGTGAACACATGTGTTATGTACATACCCAGCTGCTCTGCGAGGAGCCGGCCCTTTTCAGTGGGAACAACTCTTTCTTCCTCCATGTCACACTTGTTTCCCACCAGGATAACCTGTGCATTGTCCCAGGAGTAGGTCTTGATCTGAGTAGCCCTAAAGAGCGACAGATAGAGGACCATGTTAATGGCACACATACCCCAGGCTGAAAGGGGCTCTGTGAAGCTTGAAGAAACCGATTCCCTTCCATGGGAATAGCAACGCCCAAGTTACTATTAATTAATTCAGCTGAGGACAGAGACATCCCTGCCCCAACTAGCTGTCACAGGTGCTGATTCCTGAGCACTGGTTGCAAACTTTACTTAGCTCTTTGGAGCCCTCTTCTAATGGATTTGCCCACCCCTCTTCTCAGCAGGCAGAGATCTCTTTTTAAACATCTATCTGACCATATCCTTTATTTTTTATTTTTAAAATATATTTTATTGATTTTTTACAGAGAGGAAGGGAGAGAGATAGACAGTTAGAAACATCGATCAGCTGCCTCCTGCATGCCCCCCACTGGGAACGTGCCTGCGACCAAGATACATGCCCTTGACCGGAATCGAACCTGGGACCTTTCAGTCGGCAGGCCAACGCTCTATCCACTGAGCCAAACTGGTTTCAGTTGACCATATCCTTTCTTAAAAGCTTTCTCTCCTCCACTACCTATGCAATGAAGTCTAGATCCTTCAATCAGGAGTTAAAGACCATTTACCTTCTGCCTCTCCAGCCTATCACCTTTCCTCCCACTTTACAAGCCTTCTCACCCATTCCCAACAAATGCTTTTCTATGGCTGTGCCTTTGCCTGTCCTGGGAGTCCCTTCCCCACATTAACTTGTCCTCAAAGGCCCAAGGTTCCCTGTTGGGAGCCTTCCCCAGGCCCAGCAAGCCTCTCCCTCCTCCTCTGTGATTCATAAACCTTAGACCATGATTATTTGTAGAAACCAAAATGTCAGCAGTGCTTTCTCTTATCTACAATGATTATGAAGCCTTTTAAAAATAGTTTTATGTACTTTTCAAATTTTGCTTTACTTCTAAAATTAGAAACAACATTTTAAAAGAGGGGATAAAACAGGACCCTTCTATTGTGGAGACATCTTTTAGTGGGGATGGGCCTAACTCTGTACCCAACCACCCCACCAGGTAGAAATGATCACTTCCCCTTTCATTCCCCTTCACATTCACAGTGGCTACTGTTACATTTGGCTGAATGTATTTATCTGTCCTTCCTTTGAGGGCAGGGGCAGGCTTATTCATCTTTGGGGCGCCAGTCCCCTGCAAAGAGCACCAACCAGAGAAGTTGGCAGTGATTGTCTGATGAATGAATAAGACAGAAAATGGTTAATCCTGAAGCAGATCTAAAATTATGACCCTACCCTGACACTGACCCTAAATCTGACTCAATTCTAACTACAAACTGGATGCATCGCTGACCCTGCTCCCAAAGCTGATCCCACCACCAGCCTTTTCTTTCAGGTGAGAAGCCCTTCCCTCCAAGGATGGGATTCACTCAACCACCATTTGTTGTGGGCCAACAAAGAGCTGGGCACTGTTGGCCTACATGGCCGATGGGGGCTTAGGCTGGGACCAAGTGTCTTAGAGGCAAAACCCAACGGCACGGCTTGGGAGAGATACATGCTTAGGCGTTAGCCTCCAGTCAGTAAGCAGAGCCAACTCTCCATGTTTCCTCATGGAACTCTTCCTATCATTTTCTTCCCTCCTCCTACCCCATCCACTCAGCTCCCAGATTAGCAACTCAGGTTATTCTTAGAAGTATCACCACCAGGTGTTAAAGTCACTGTGCTCCTGAGGCAGAATGAACACAGACTGATGGAGAAAGGGAAGGGGTTAAGGCCAACAAGGAATGAGTAGCGTGGAGACACTTAAACAAAGAGCTGATCACTCCATGGGGCGCGGAAAGGAGGATTGTAACTGAAGGGGGGAAAGGAGGAGAAAAAACAAGGGGAGTAAAGAGAAAAGAGAAAGGAAAGGAGGAAGAAGGTAGAGGGAAGTTCTTAAAGGGGAAAAAAGGAGGGAGAAGAAGATGACCAAAAGGCTGCGAAGGAGAACGCAGATGGCCATGAATGACAGACATGCAGACACATGCAGGTGGCACCCTGGACTGCTGCTTAGAACTGCTGCTTAGAGCAGGGGAGTGCAGCAGGCAGCCTGCAAGGCCACTCTCAGCTCAAGACCCCAAGACACAAACAAGTGCTTCACATAATCATGGCAACAGCTCCTTGGGAAATGGGAAGTCCTCAAAGGGCAGCTGTTGGCAATAGGGAGCAGGAGGAAAGCTTGGCACTGTGCAGCTCTGCTGCTGTGTGCCCAGCCTGCTCAGCTTCTCTGATTCTGAAGAAGAGCCAGAGCACAGATGTCCCACTTTCCCCCATCCTCATCCTTCCCATGGGCAGGGGCATTGGGTCTGGCCCCCTCCCTCCAACCTGTCTTTATCCCCATGCACCTTCTCCCTGTGAGTGATGCTCCAGGAAGAAAGATGTAAGTGGCTCAGAGGTTGTACCCCTGGGAAGCCGGGCTGATTTCCAGTGTGAGCTGAATCTTTATGAACTTGGATTGAATTGGATGTGCTCTTGGGACTCCTAGCCCAGCTCAGGGACTAACTTGATAGGGAAGCAGTATGTGGATTCACTCACTACTGTGGCCACCATGATCTTTCTTAAAAAAATTCATCTGAACCTTTGGTTCCAAACTTGTTACCCCAGGATGCAAAATCTTTCATGACCTCTGCTCTTTCTGTCCTCAAACTTGCCTTCTGCCTTTGCACATCTGTATTTTTTTTTTCTGGAATATCCTTATCTGTTCATCCTTCTGCCTAACTTCTGTTCATCTTAAACATACAGCATATGTCAACAACTCCAGGACACTTCTCCTGAGTCTCCAAGCTGGGTCAGAGCCCTCCACTGGGTTCCCACAGCCCCTGAGACTCTCTTCAACCTGTCACATGTTATTTTCATTGCCTGTTTACTGACCTCATCTGTGATTTTCCTGAAGACAGGAGCCAGTCTAATTCATCCAGATTTCTCTAGCCCATAGCACAAGGCCTAAACCACACTTTGGGTTTTCTTGAAAAGGTTGGTGAATGAATGAATGATGAATGAATGAATGAATGAATGATCTCATACCAATCTTGCACAGCATTGAAGGACTCCTCATTGGTGATATCATACATCAGAATGAAGCCCATGGCCCCACGGTAATAGGCTGTGGTGATGGTCCGGTACCTCTCCTGCCCCGCTGTGTCCTAGGAGGGAAAAGAAAGAGTCAGCCTCCTAGAAAGTTTGCTTTTGTTCCTAAAAAGTCCCCAGAGCAATTAACTAATAAGAGCACCTATTATGTGTATTGTATTATATTTACTGACTAGAATAAAATATTTAAACCATCATTAATAAGAATATAATTAAAATCCCAACAGAAAAATGGGCAAGGGGAATGAACAATTCATAGAAGAAATGTAAATTAATATATTTATTGTACAACAAGGTTTTAACCAACCTGACTAGTGTTGCTAACTGGTTAGAACGTCAGCTTGCACACAGAGGGGTCATGAGATCATTACCTGGTCAAGGACACAGACCTGGGTTGTAGTTCGTTCCCCACCCCCGAGTTGGGGTATATGTGGGGGGCAATTAGTCAATGCGTCCTTTTCACATCAATGTCTCTCTCTTTCTCCCTCCCTCTCTCTCTCTCTCTCTCTCTCTCTCTCTCTCTCTCTCTCCTTCCCTCCCTTTCACTCTCTTACCTTCAACTCTCTGAAAGCAATGGAAGAAATATCCTCAGGTGATGACCTAAAAAGACTTTAGCCATAGGAAGAAAAATACCAGAAATATATCATAGGAAAACCAATACAGCTCCTAGGACAATGGAGACTAACAAATGGGACTACCTCAAAATAAAAAGAATCCATCAACAAAACAACAAGAAAGCCCACTGCATGGGAGAACATATTTGCCAATGTTATCTCCAATAAGAGTTTAATCTCCAAAATTTACAGGGAACTCACACAACTTAACTAAAGAAAGATAGACAATCCAGTAAAAGAATGGGCAAAAGATCTAAATAGACACTTCTCGAAAGAGGACCTACAGGACGCCAAGAGACATATGAAAACATGCTCAAAGTCACTAGTCATCTGAGAGATGCTGTCAGAATGGCTATCCTCAACAAATCAACAAATGATAAGTGTGGGCAAGAATGCAGAGAAAAGAACCCTCGGGCACTGCTAGTGGGAAGGCAGACTGGTGCAGCCTCTGTGGAAAACAGTATGGAGTTTCCTCAAAAAATTAAAAATGGAACTCCCATTTGACTCAGTGATCCCATTTCTAGGAATATATCCCAAGAACTCAGAGACACCTATCAGAAAGGATATACGCACCCTTATGTTCATTGCAGCACAATTCCAATACCTAAGACTTGGAAATAGCCTAAATGCCCATCAGCAGATGAGTGGATTAGAAAACTGTCGTACATCTACATAATGGAATACTATGCTGCTGTAAAAAAGAAGGAACTCTTACCATTTGAAACAGCATGGATGGACCTGGATAACATTATGCTAAGCAAAATAGGCCAGTCAGAGAAACATAAATATCACATGATCTCAATCATTTGTGGAATATAATGAGCAACATAAACTGATGAACAAAAATAGAACAGAAGCATCTAACAGACTATCTAACCTAAAAAGGAAGGAAGGAAGGGTTGTTGGGTGGGTAAGAGATCAACAAAAGGACTTGTATGCATGCATATTAGCATAACCAATGGACATGACAGTAGGGGTATGAGGGCATGTGCTGGGGGGTGAGAACGGTCAGGGAAAGGTCAATGGGGGGTTGGGAGAAGAAGATTTAAGTAACACTTTAAACAATAAAGAATTTAAATTTTTAAAAAGTGTTAAAAAACGTTTTTTTAATCTTATTTTTAACTATAATTCCCATTATAGATGAGAATATAGTGAGAAGTTGCAACCTCACACCTGCTCATGGGAGTGGTACTTGGTTCAATCTTTTTGGAAATCAACTTGAAAGTCTCAAGAGCATTAAAAATATCTGTACCCTTGACCCAGAATTTCTTCTCCTAAAAACTTTTTCTACAAAATTGGAAAATCAAAATACCTAATCACAAAAATGTTTGTGACCACTTTGTTTAGACAGTGAAAAAGTATCATCAAATTACATATTCAACAATAGGAAAATGGTTCAACTGTAAGATTTTTTATATATGTTTATTTTTGTAAGACAACTTAATGACCTGGGACAATGCTTGTATTTGTGATATGATATCAGTTTTTGTAAGTATATCTGCTGAGGAGAAAACTGAAAAGAAACACACCAAAACATATTAGTTATCTCTGTACAATAGACAAGAATTACTAGGACTTTAATTTTCTTCATGTAATTCTATTTTCACTACAATAAGCATGTATTACTCGTATATACAGAGAAATAAACATTTTTACTAAAAATAATTACTGCTCTACCCGGTTTGGCTCCGTGCATAGAGCACTGGCCTGCGGACTGAAGGGTCCCAGGATCGATTCCAGTCAAGGGCCACATGCCTGGGTTGCGGGCTCGATCCCTGGCGGGAGGGGGCGGTGTCATATGGGAGGCAGCCAATCAATGATTCTCTCTCATCATTGATGTTTCTCTCTCCCTCTCTCTTCCTTCCTCTCTGAAATCAATAAAAGTATATTAAAATTTTAAAAATTAAAAATAATGACTAAGATAACTCTTTATCTCAAGCAGCTCACAGTCTGGTTGGAAATGTCACTGGAGCACAACGGGATGCTTCACAAAGGTGCACTCGGTGCAGGTGAGGGGCCAGCCAATCATCTGTTTCAACACAGTTTTACAGTGTGTGATGCTAGGGCATGAATAAAACATTTCCTCTACATTAGCTTATTCAAATTTTATCAAACCCCTGTGAGGCAGGTGTTATTAGTATTTACATATTATAGTTGAGAATATAAAAAGCAAACTGGTGACCAAAGCTATGCCTTAAATCCAGGATTTATGATTTCAAGCCCAATGCACAGACCACTACCCCTCAATCAATGAAAGATTTACCCACTAATTGAACACCATCTATAATAATAATGGGAACAATAATAATTATAGCTTGCCATTACTTGTATATATGTTACACCTGCTATTTACAAATTTTAGAAAAACCCTGTAGGGTATATATTATTATTCCTTTTTTTTTTTTTTTTCCCAGAGTGCCCACTCAATGTCAGAATTGGCATTCAAAACAAATCTGTCTGACTCCTGTTGGAGTACTCACTCCTTGAATCCTACTCCACTATGCCAACTGTTGGGTCCGAGTCCCTCTGTCAGGGACTGGACCTCCTTGGATGCCTGGCATTAGAAGACAGAAGACATGAGAAATCATGGGTATATAAGAGAGACTTTATTGCAGTCCAAGTAGCTATTGCTACGAAGGAGCCATTAGACAAAGCAATTTTTGCTATACAGTAGCAAACACAGGAGCCATCCTAGGAAAACAGTCAGCAGCAGCTGGTCTGTAACATGTCTATCCCAAATGCAGTCCTCAGAATAGGAGCTATACGGGAGTCGGCCACACTGGCTAGTTAGGAACATACTTTATACGAACTTAGACAAGAGAGGCTTCTTGCCAAATAGTGACCCCAGTCTTTTGGGTTATAGAAGGGCATGCCTGTGCAGTGTCTGAATTCTTGCTTTTGCACCTGCATATGGTACATTAGTCTTGAACACCCTGATTAGGATTCCCATGCTCAGAGTGGCCTTGAACATCCAGAATACACATAATACAAAGTGTGTGCCTTGGCCATAAACTATACTTTGTGTGACATAAAAAATAGAATAAAAACCCAGCCGGTGTGGCTCAGTGGTTGAGCATTGACCTAGGAACCAGGAGATCACAGTTTGATTCCCAGTCCTGGTTGTGAGCCTGATCCCTAGTAAATGGCATGCAGGAGATAGCTGATCAATGATTCTCTCTCATCACTGATGTTTCTATCTCTCTCTCCCTATCCCTTCCTCTCCGAAATCTATAAAAATATATTTTTTTAAATGGAATAAGCTTCATCCATGCCCTCAGGAAGCCTCAGTAAAAGTGTAGAGGTTTCCAAAAAAAAAAAAAAAAAAAAAAAAAAAAGTAGAGGTAGCAAAGGCACATCAGATCAAACTGATAATTCGTACCGGGTGGCACTCTGTGATGTAGAGAATGGACTGGAGGGAGAAGACATGGAAGCAGAAAGGCTGGTTAGAAGATCTTTGCAGTGGTTCAGCTGAGACCTAGAACGGTAGCAATGGGGATGGAGTAGAACCAGATTCAAGAGTTATTTAAGAGAGCCTTGGCCAGAGAGGTAGCTCAGTTGGTTGTATACCAGATACGTTGTGTAAAGAAAATATAGCAGACAAATCGGGTAAGGTGGAATTGAGGTGGTTTTAGGTAGTTTATGGAAGGTTTGTCATCACAGGGCTCGTGTATCAGTTAAAGACAGACTGGGTGATTCAGTAACAAGCAAGCACAAACCTCAGCAGCTTAAACAACAAGCTTCTGTTTTTCACCGTTGTGATATACCCACTCAAGGTTTGGCTGGGTGCTCTGCTTTCTGTCATCCTTATTTGAGGATAAAGACTGGCAGAGCAGCTACCAGAGGAAAAGAAAGTGTATGACTCATGTATGGGCTCTTAAAACTTCCACTTTTCCCATTTCACTGGCCGAAGCAAGTCACATGCCAGCAGCCAAGAAAGTGCAATCCTATGATATGCCCTGGAGGAGAACTGGAAATGTGATGGCCAGCATGAGGGCTCCCACAGGTGAATCTGCTCTGAGTCCAGAAGCATTGCCTGGAGATGTGCTTATCTGTCGATAGAAGGAGGACAACAGGGACTTCTCTGAAGAATTTTTCAAGCAGATAAAAAAAAAAAATGTTCCAAGCAGAGAAGTGAAGGAAAGATGTTTTTTAAAAAAATTCTTTATTATTGCAAGTATTACATATGTCCCCGTTTTTCTCCCATTGACTCCTTCTAGCCTGCCCCCACCCCCAACCCCAGGACTTCACCCCTCTATTATCTGTGTCCATGAGTTATACATACATACATACATACATACATACAAGTTCTTTGGTTGATCTCTTCCCACCCACCCACCTTTCCTGAGATTCTACAGTCAGTTTCATACATTAAAAAAATACATATTTTATTGATTTTTCTTACGGAGAGGAAGGGAGAGGGACAGAGAGCCAGAAACGTCGAT